GTGTTATTGAAATGGCTAGATGAGGAAAGGGAGGCAGTGCCCTCTCCCTCTACAGCTTTAAGCTCAGGGGTTAGGGTCTCACTGGGGATGCGGAAAGCCCAGGTTCAATTCCCCCACTGCCTGATGTAGAGCAGGGATTTGACTTTGGGCTTCCTGCACTGCAGGAAGTGCCCTAGCCATGGGATGGTTTTGGTGCAGGGCTCTGTTGAAGCTGTTCCACTTTTTATAAATAATTGACGAGCCATTGGGGCAGGGACTGGCTCTTGAGCCGCTCCACTCCCAGGTGAGTGCCCAAACCACCAGGTTACAGAATTAGTCTCAGTCTCTTTCCTGGCCAATGGCTGAACATTGTCATTCTCCTTGTTACCTACTGGATGTGCCATGAACTGCAAAGGACACCCAGCAAGGTCACATTCATGCTACAGCAGAGAAGCAGTTGGGAGGGTGAGAGATTTTTCACACCCACTGAAACACCAGAGCAGCAGCTTGGGGCAGGTGTTATAAAGCTGGGAGCCCCTTGGTGCTGGAGCATGGGAGCCAGGGATGTAAGCTAGAGTGACCATGTTACCAGCTGCAGGGTTGCTCTCCTGGCCAATACACTGAGCATGCCAAGAGATCCCTGCTAGCACCAGGCCAGGCTGCTAGCAAGGAACTATCTCAAAAATAGGGTCGGTCTTGAGACAGAATTGGAGTTTCTCTGCATTCTCTCGCAGTTACTTATTCATCACCTAAATATGTATTTTTCATTTTATCTTCACTTGTGGACAAAGGTGTGTTTGATAAAACAATGGTACCAGAATGGGGGTGTTGTTCTTCTACAGTGTGCTTTTTGTCATAATTTTCATATGTAATTTCAAATTTCAACTGATTTTTTAATGGAATGTTGAAGGTTGCCGTTGGGAAATTGAATTTCCTGCTATGAAGTTAACCAGCAATATCTGCACTCAGCAACCAGGGATTGGGCAATTCCTGTTCTGTTTTGCATTTGTTATCAAATGTTTTATTAT